ATGTCAGCACCTCTCCTGGTTCTCACATCTTCTATTGTTCTTCGGAATTTTTTTGTTGATGCAAATATGATCTATCTGGTTCTCTGTAGTGTGGTCCGGTGAGATCCATGTGGTTTTGTGTATACGTTTGTGTGGAAATATTGTGCCGCCTATGACCAATTTGTTGAATGCACATAGATTTGCGAGTCTCTCTCCATTTTCGTTTCTCTCACCCAGTCCATGTCGTCCCATAATATCTTCATATCCGGTGTTGTCTATCCCGACTTTGGCATTTAAATCTCCCATCAGAATGGTGAGGTCCTTTCTTGGGCATTTCTCTATGATTGACTGTAGCCTCTCATAGAATTGATCTTTGATGTCGTCGTTGCTATCATTGGTGTATGCTTAACATTAGATAATATTCATTAAGATCCCCTCCTTCTTTGTTTTGAATAATGCTTTGATGATTCTGGATCCGTGAGATTCCCATCCTACAAGTGCATTCCGTGCTACCTTGGGCAGCATTAGAGCAACTCCCTGATTAAGTGGAGCGCTTTCCTCTTCGTGACCGGAGTATAGCAACATCTCTTCCGTATTTAGCCTTTGTTGTCCAGCTTGGGTCCAATGGGTTTCGCTGATTCCCAGTACTGCCAATTTGTATCTCCTCATTTCCGTTGCCATTTGACTGTTCTTCCCGGTCTCCCACATTGTTCGAACGTTCCACGTACCTAGAAAACGTTTTGCTCTGGTTGTTAGAATGGGCATCGGCCTCGTGAATTCCGAAGGAACTCGACTTTCACCATGAGGCGTCATAATTCAGAATGGAGCTGAAAGTATTTCATTATGTGTGGTCATAAAATATAGTGCTAAAAACAGTTATTGTGATATACAATTGACTATCTACCTTTTTTTATTATGGTTGTGGTGGTTTTCAAAGTTTCAGCTCCGTACAGTAGAACTGTCTTGACGTTCGTATTGAAGATTGTGACTTCGGTGTTGGCTTGCAGAGAGTTCTTTTGGGTTCTATATGTTCTCATCTCCTACAACTGTTAGACAGCTTGGACTAAACGCTTTTCAAAATATCGATTGGTTTCCAAATATATCTGCGAACCTATTCACTTCTGACTTCTGATTTGACTGGGTTGAAATACTCTGATTATAAAAGATGTTGCGAGTGAAGATGTCATACTCTGAATACTTGTAGCATACTTACGTTTGTGACTTGCTTTATGACTTGCATCTCGGTCGTTATGGTGACTGACATGACGGGAAGAAAGGTCAGAATTCGATTGATTTATTTAATATGATTCTTAGTGTAGAACCCGTTTTGAATGTTTGGTGTGTGTGTGAAAATCCCTCCATGTATATACTTGCACTTTGTTTCCATTGATCCCCTTAGTTGTACGTTGCTAGTTTTTTTATTACATTTGAATTGTTAATATTTGTATTTTTTATCGTAGTTTTTATTTTTATTACGCCTTCACTAAGTTTTTGTGTTTCTTCCCGAACTGCATCTATGTTGTTTTACTTGACACTTGTTCTTGGCGGCAGCCATATTGATTTCCCCCTCCTTTTGTGTGTGTTTTATCCAGTCAGGATAGAATAGCGTTCATTTGTTGTGACTGGTAATTTTCCTGCGTCTTTTATCAACTTCTTTATTTATCGTAATTTAGATTTAATTGATTGAACAATTATTGGTTGAGTAGCCGGGTGGTAACATTTGTTTAGGTAACAATTTACATTTAAATTTATGATGAATTATAGAACCGCTATTTACCCGCTATGGCTGAGCAAACCGCAACTCGGGATCACTACAATGAAGTTCTGGGAGCCGGACTTTCGTAGCTATAACAGCGTCTATCCCTATTGGTGACAAAAATCACTCATGGCTTTCGTCTGACATTCTTCTACACTGAACAACATCGCACGTTGAGGTAGGCGGTAGTTGAGCACTTATAACACTTGTCCAAACCGCCTCAGTCGATGAAGATTTTCTACCTTGTCAGCTTATTCGTCATTGGTACATGGCATCTTAACCCTATCCTAGGTATTGCTTACTCAGTGGTGTCAAAATACACGAGCTATGCCTCGAAGACAATTAAAATCAAATACTAGTAACCTATGAACATTATCTGTTTATAGCGTCCATTTTTCATACCCAGAAAGCAGAATAGAATGAAGTGTTGCACAGTAAACTCACTCTTTGGTTTTTGGGTGGATACCTCGCCCAAGCCAAAAATGAGGCAGGTTAATAAAAATCAGCCAAGTTTTTTATAATCGGCGTCAAAATTTCATCGGACACCAACCATCCGGGGTTTGTGAGACTAGCGAGATGAATGTGATTGACACACTCAACTACTCCATTCCCTATCGTGAGTTTAGGTGTTGACGAAGACCAGTCTTGGGGCAAAATTTTGCATTCGGGGTGAGGGATTCTCATACCGAAAATGCTTGGGCTGTCGTTCAAGGAAATCAGAAGACTAAACTTTTTCGGTGTTTTAACCAGACTGTACTATATTATCTGCGTATTTCAAGTCAGTCAGTAAATCTTTTGGTACAAAAACCCCTGAAATATCAGGCGATGGGAGCGCTGTCTCCAAAAGTACGTTTGACAAAGTTGTATAGGAGTGGAGAGAAGGGACGGACCTGAAGAACACCACTATATGTCGACAATTCCAATGATAAATCACCATAAGCTCTAACTTGACTTGTAGTGTTCTATTGGAGAACCTGTACAGGGTTGATTGGATTATTTGGTACACATTTCAGTAACATACACTTCCATGAAACCTGACAATCTACAGGGTTTGGTGCAGCCTTAATGTCAAGGAATACGACTACAGTCGGATGTTCAGAAGGATGTCTATGTTCAAGAGCCTGGAGAAGGGTGAATTTCTGGTCGATACATCTATATCAAGATCGGAAGCCAGCCTATATTTCTTGTGATTGCACTTCATAGGCGCTAGTTAACCATCGTCGTGTTAATGAAATTAATATTTTAAATAACATACTAGTTAAACCGATTCCTCGAGTTGACACAGGAGGGTTTTTGTTCTTTATTGCAAACTGAGACGATTAGCTATCGAGGCCAGGCAGATGGGATTGTGATGCCGGTCAATTTAACTGTGAAATATGAACCATCATCCCTAGAGATATTTGGGATTAGTCCATCAAAACCTACTGCTCTCCCTTACTCTAGGTTGCTTGCAATATCTTGAACATCATTAAGAGTTAAGGGACTTACGCCAATTCACCACTCGGGCTGCAGGGAGATTATGAGTATCTGAAGTGTGACTGAATGTCATTTGAATTGTTCCCTAAAGTGTTCTGCCAATATTTCAATCACATGGACCGGGAGTGACTAATAATTTCGCATGTTTTCATAGTCATATTAACAGCCGGATTTCTAATATCCGTCTGGTCGATAAGCCGGAAGAGTAGTTCACCATAACCTTTTGTTGCTACCTCTGCCATCTATTTTTCTTTCGTTAACAATCACTCCCCACATCCATTGCGTAGGCTTTCTAATTAGCCTACACTTAAGTTGCTTTCGCCCCTTATCGTGTTTGGAGCAAGACGGGATGGATTTCCAATCATCTATCACTTTGGTATATGCGTATGTTTTTAATAACGGTTAGTAGAGATACAAGGTAGAATCACTACTGCATGCGTCTGTCCATGGGACGCAGCTGATTAATGCACGTTAATTGTCCTTTGGCGAGGATCAACTGATTGTTCGACAGTCAGCGACCTGTTTGCCAAATGATTTAGCCGGAACCTAGGGATGTTTTACTGGTCCCACACTTTGGGTACTAGAATTTAATGCCTGACGAATGCAAATGGTGGGTTTGCTAAGGGTTGTCCATGGTCACGTATATTGGCTGTCGTTAAAATGGTCAAATTCTTATGGATTAAATAAACAGTTGTTTAATGAACAAACACGAACTTTCAAGCATTTCGAGCGTTCTTTCAAAAGCGTCATATTTAAGCATCAATGTAAATAGATCTCAAAAGTAATTGGGAAGAGCTTGATCATTATGAGTTATTTGTAAGTACTCCAAAAATTTCAGCTTCTGAAAGCGTAGAATTGTTGAGGTGGACTGAAATCCTTAGAATTGGTTTATTTATACTACCTAACTACAAGTCTTAATCCTGGAGTACGGTTGACTGGAAAGATATAGTTGGGTGATCTATATAGTATTAAGTTGAAGATATACTACCCAATAACTTCCTATTCTGCCCCACCCTAACACGGCGGTCGAAAGATTTTTCATCTCTGGTGCAATTTAGGTGACGAATTAAATCATATCAGGCAGAGATCGATTTAGGCCTAGAGGGAAAGAAAGCGTGGTATAGACCGTTTTGTAACCATACTGCTTCATGTTTCGATCACACTTATCCAGTTATTCAACCTACACAGGTTAATATTGACCTTTTTAAGCTGTGATACCCGTTCATAGCCAAGTGACCGGTTTCAAAAATTGGTATTATAAATTCACCTATACTGTTAGATCACTAAGGTGCAGGTTTAAGTTATCGGAGATGTCACGGATATTCAGGGTCTGACAAAGCTCTTGTCCGTAACACATCTGTAATCATAAGATCCCAAACTCAGTTAAATCACAAGTCAGTAGTGAATGAGTTTGAAGATACATTTGGAATGTATTCGATATGTCATGGACATTGATCACATCTGGCTTTTAATTGCGATGATTGCCTTGCACAGTGTGTCTAGTGGTGTTCTGGTGAAGATGCATGACCAAAGCCTTCAGCCAGGGTTTGTTCAGTAAAACTAATGAGATCAATATTGATGTCAAAGACTTGCAGAGCTGTTGACTTAGGGATTTATTTACCCCTACAGTGTCATCAAGAATATCTATTGTCACATTGAACGGTTTATTGGATGTATAAAGCGTAGAAACAAACTGAGTAATAAAAGAAAAGTATTTTTTGTGTTACTAAAAATTCTGTTTGTAATTGGATTTCGATCATCTGTATAACCTCGTTTAAAAGTACACTTCGTAATTTGAGGCGGTCAACACTAAAAACTGACGCAGGATGACCACTGAAAATGGTATGTTAAGTGATTATGTCCTCTTACGACTATCCTTTTAGGTGAGATTCGCCGTCCAACTATTGCTGATCGTGAGGATGAATATCGTTCGCGTCGTCGATTGCTGATGATTTCTCCAGCAAGAGTAGACCCGTTCGCTGACGGTATGTATACAAACAGCGTTTTTATTGTTTATCAGCATTTATCCTTAAGTTATTACCCCATCTAAGAACGAATTTTTCTTTTTTGTATAGCGATGTGGTGTCCAGCGGGGCTTATTTTTTGTGTAAGGTTAGGGCGTTTGGTAAGTGCATATGATTAGGTGATTGTTTAGTTCTTATACATTCTACGCAATCCAAACTCTTTTACAGCGATTTCGCATCATTCAACCTTGAAGCAATCTCTTGGTTCGGAAACGATGGCCCGGGATAAACCCATCACGTGCGTCATTTTTTTATGATGTTAAATTATTTGTATAGTTCTCTAATGCCTAATTTGTCTTTGCTTCTTTTTATTTATATTTATTTCTGCGCACCACTGACAAATAATTTGATGAATTGGCGTTTGTAGGCGACCAAACACCGGATCACCGTCTATCAACGTACAAAGATATCATGCTTAATCAGCAACTCACCAAGGAACAACGAGCATTGCAGGCAGAGATAGCCGAAAGAGGTAAGACTGGGACGCTACGAATGGACTCAGAAGTTCCCACGAAAAGACGTAGATGGGATCAGCCTACCACAGATGTCAACGGGACTAAGAATGACGCACCAACTCCTGCTGCTACTCCATCAACTCCTTCGAAGCGTTGGGGAGATGACGCACTCACTCCTTCACGTCCACCCTCTACACTTACAGGAGTCTCAACCCCTGGAAGCCGGTCACAGTGGGATGACACTCCTGGGAGAGCAAAAGACCCTGGCGCAACCCCTGGACAAAGCGTTAGGCAATGGTCAGAAACTCCCCACTTTGCAGCTACTCCAGGTCGAGAAACAGGAAGTTCTGCATTTGGTGTAAGTATTGAGACTGGTGAATTTCATGCCGCTAACTAATTCCTCGTGCTAATACTTTTAATTTTTTCCCGTTCTAGGGGACACCTAGTGCTAGACGTAACCGTTGGGACGAAACTCCTCACACTGAAAGGTATGGTGCCGATACACCAGGTCATGGTGCTGGATGGGCAGAAACCCCCAGAGCTGATCGAACTCCTGGCGGTGTAGAGTCAATTCAAGACACACCATCTTCAATGGTTTATGGACCAGGCTCCACTCCATCAAGCATTGCTGCTGCGGCCGCACTTGCCGTTAAGCGCAGATCTAGATGGGACGAAACTCCACTAAAAGCAGGATCAACTCCAGGTGGTTTAACACCATCTCAGGTTAGTAGCGGTAATGTATTTCGTCTGTAGACTTCATATTAGTGCAACAAATTTTATTTTTACTGTGTACCTTTTCATGTTAAAAATTTCGAATTTAGTGTAGAACCGCTGACCTTAACAAACAACTAACCTTTTAGTATAATCCAGCTAGCTAAGAGCTTTGGCAAGCAAAAATATCTGCCAACAATAATTTAGTGCTGACTTGTCGCTGATAACTAAGAATATTTCAATATTAGCAACAAATTTATTCAGTAGTACCAAACGATAAGCATTTAAATCTCGTGTACGGTACTCCCTGAATTTATCAAGTCAGCCCATCAAATAAACATTTCTGTAGACTTCAAGACGTATCTAACAAATCCTAAAATGTTGATTGCCAAGATTAAACAAAGTAAAGAATTAGTTGAATGATTTTCAAACTATTTAAAACAACGACCTACTGAATTATCCTTGAATATTTGGGGATGTATCAGCTATGCATGTTATTGCTTTCTTGTTTCGTGTCCATGATTTCGTTAGGTTTTCGGTCCTAAGTACTCACAGCACCTGTAGGTTGCAGTTTTCAAGAGCACCTTAGTGATTTTTTATTTTGTGATATAAAAGCGTGTATCATCGTAGCATTCACTGTTTCGAGTTGCCAAAAATGTACTGATGAAAGTCGGTTAGGGATAAAACACTGGCGTGTTGTATAAGTTAATAAAACAGCGCGGTCCATAAGTTGGTCTTCTAAACTTCAACGATCATCTATGTCATTTCTCTCTCAGCATGTCGCAGAAACTAGACAAAGCCGATGCACATATGTGATTTAGATCCCTATAATAGGTGTCATCGTTCTTTATTGTTTTGGTTTTTAGACTCCGGGCAGCTTCACACCGTCAAGTGCTATGGGTGGGATAACACCAGGAGCAACTCCTGGAGGCTTTAATGCGGCTAGCGCTTTCACTCCTTCCGGAACTACTCCAACAGGTTTACGGGCTATGGCTATGGCCACACCAAATTTCGGGTCTGCTGCCATAACAATACCAGGAGCAGGAATCCCAATGACTCCCGAACAGTTACAAGTATATGCTTGGCAGAAGGAGATCGATGATCGAAACAGACCTCTAACTGATGAGGATTTAGATGAGTTGTTGCCTCCAGGTACGAGTTGTTCGGTTTTACTAAGTTATTCACTGAATTTCAACTATTTCTTTCACCAATCTTGTGTTAGTTTGAAAATATGAACTTATTTGTTGCAGATAAAACTTACTAACTTACTGAGTCCATCATCTCTACCATGCCAAGTATATTTAAGCAACATATAACAAGTTATCATATTTCAGACAAAAAATAAAGTAAATGTGAGCTTTTAAATAGCTAACTGCTACTTTCACACTATGTTGGGTTTTCTAACATAAACCTTTAATTGTTTATCATTAGTTAGACGACAGTCCAACGATTGTTTCTGTTTCTAAACATCATTCGCGGTGGCCTACACATTCCTTAATTCATGTTCACTCATCTCATACTGTGCATTCTTCGATAAACAATAATGAACGGTTTATGACATGGTAAAAAATAAGGGGGAGTTCTGTCACCTCTACACTTTCCAACACATTTTGACTAGATGGGATTCTAAAGGTTATGCGTGTCATCATATGTCTCAGGATAAAGGCTGTTAGCATTCGTGCTGTTGTGTTTATTGTATTGAGTGTAAATAAAATCGCGTTTTTACTCCAACTTTCTCATTACCTGTTGTTTTTTTAAGGGTTTTGTGATTTGTTCGCAATGTCATCTTTTCGCTCTGTGCGGGGCATATTTGGTGGTGCTCCATTATAAAAAATATTCCTCCCAAATAATTATGCCAAATAACGACGCCCTTTGTTAGTTGGCGGGTCAGTACTTAAAACATCCCTACCATTTTATTTGGTGCACACTTACAAGTTTGTTTATATATTTGACTTCCTCGAATGACTGTCTTTATTTTTACGCCAGTCACCTGCGATTCCGATAGATCGCGGATTTGTAATTTCTTTTTATCGTATATGAAGTCAAGACCAAACCTACCCAGTCTGTCGGCTATTAATGTTATTCGTTTCAGCGAGACGTATCATTTCAGTTAACTTCACGACCAGGGATAGTCTCATGTCCGCATTTCATGGAAAATGAGATCTTTACTGCTGTTAACTAACCAACATCAATAACAATCAAGTTGTCATTTTTTCTGCTACAGTTGCACACATAACTGTTGGGTAAACAATTTTGTGTATAAAATTTAATATATTGATTCACTTGTCTCCAGGTTATAAGATCATGCCACCGCCCGCCGGTTACGTCCCAATAAGGACTCCTGCTCATCGATTGGTAGCAACACCAACTCCAATGATTGGAGGGACTCCAATGGGCTTTAGAATCGGCACACCTGATATTGGAACAACAGCTGGGTTTGGTATGAATGCAACTGGAGGTAATGCTGCGGCTCTTGGTGACATGCAACCTAAAGGAGCTAATTTACCCATGATGAGACCTGATGATCTACAGTATTTTGATAAACTGCTACAAGTTAGTTAATCTGAATATTTATTTACAATTTTATTACGCCAGAAATAATTTCTATTCATTAAACAATTTCTTTTTGGAACTATCACTTTTCGTGTAAGTTTAGTTCAAAATCTGAGAAGTATACAAACACCTAACTTGATTGTTCTAAACCATCTTGATGCTTCGACGAAACCTTGTTTCATCATTTTCCAGTGCTTTAATTACTAATGACTGTCCTGAAGCATTATTAATAGAAGTGTTAATGGTCTTTCTTCCTGTACTATATCCTTATTGCAATCTTTCTTTTATATATTACCACCTCTGAATTAACTACTTTTATGAATCCGGCGTCCATCTTGTTGTGTTAATGAGGTATGGCAACTTGGACCGATGCATATATGTGCCTGGTCCTACGTTGTAACTGACTGACTGTTAATGGTCGGAAAGTAGGTACGTTCCCTTGAGTACATCTTAACCCAAGGTTTACGGACAATGTCACGTTACGTTGTTTTAGTATACAGGACCCTCAAGCTCCGGTTTGTCAATAGCATCTATTGTACGCTTTTTGTATTATCTGTGAAGAACTCCTTTTTCAGGATTAGTAAACTATCTTAACAGCTGTAATCCATATGTTCAGATACCACTATCTCTGTAGGACTAATGACCTTCGCTTAAAGTGGTTGTTCTGAACCTCTGTGTCATGTTAAATCATGTTGGGAATTGGAATTCATCTGATGTAGTTGTCTTTTAGCGCTGACTTTAGTGTTCCAAATACATTCTTAAAATATTACGCATCATTTGATTCATAGATTCACTTGTTCCAACTCGTACATATAGGTCGGTCAGCTGTAGGTGGTTGCATTCATAACGGTAAATGTATTGACTAAATCTTGACTTCGGTAGTTTCTGAGTCACAAGCACACGAAGAGGTATCCTGGTGCCAGCCATGACAGCATTAGTCTATCAAGTCATTTATGACACTGAACTATCATCAAAATCTCCATGTTTAATTCACTTTTCGTACCAATTTTTGTGTGGGAAGTTTCTTAGTTTTCGTTTTCAGAAGTTTTGCCACTTGTTTAATTAGTGATCTATTATACCTCTTAGCAGGTGGTTTTCTTAGGGAACCACACCCCGAGCCTTTGATCTGAAGGTCTAATCCACAAGGCAGTGGAGCAACGTCAGGAGATGCAGTCCCATAGTAGCCGGTGACCAACAATAGGCCGTTTTTACCCTCAGAATCCTGGAGTCCATATGCACAATTGGTTTGGAATCAGGGTTTACCAACTCCCCGGGTCCACTAGCCCGGTTAAACCGCTTCTCTTCCTCTCGATTTCGTAAACAACACTCACCACGAGAAGGCAGTGAGTAGGACTTCCTTTGGAGTGGCTGTATACGCGTGGTCATGTGAGAGCATTTGGAGGTGAATATCAAGTTGCATCTCACTTTCCGTACAAGCTTTTTGTTAATTTTTAAAATACATTTTCTCTTTGTTAAAGGATGTCGATGAGGACACTCTTCCACCCGAGGAGGCACGTGAAAGAAAGATAATGACATTTTTACTCAAGATAAAAAATGGTACTCCTCCAATGCGTAAGTCAGCCCTAAGGCAAATCACTGAGAAAGCAAGGGAATTCGGTGCAGGACCTCTGTTCAAACAAATATTACCCCTTCTGATGTCTCCTACATTAGAAGATCAAGAACGCCATTTGTTAGTGAAGGTAAATTAGACCTCTCAATTATGTCTACGATCTCAGCATTTTTGTTTGTACATCTACACAGTTTCTTAATTGTTTTAAACCTGTTTCATCATTACAAATATTGATTGTCATATTTATTTCTATGCTTTCTTTTCAGTATGCATTTAAAATTGAGCACCACTTTTCAATTCATTATTATCCAATCTGTAGAACTTTATAATACTGCTTTGAATAAAATTACAGGGAAGACAAACACACTATGTAGTGTTTGTTACTCATTTTTGTTCATAAATCGTATGATTAACCTGAGAAAATCTTGTCAGGTTTGTTTCATGCTCCGAGTTTATCTTAACGAAAACATTCATCTGGCAAGACTATAATTTGTGGTCGAACCAAGAAAATTCAAGATAGGAGGTCTTGGATTTGGGTGCAAAATTCATTCGTTTGGCTATATGACATTTTGATATTATAGCTGATTTCGGTTCGTGATGAAAACCTCAACTGTAGTTCCTAACCTTAACTTCCGATTCTACGTCCCAATCTCAATTTCTTGCATTAATTTACAACCCACCCTCTTTAGACCCTAGTAGGGAGAATTTCCTTACAATCACTTTGGCGTCTCTCAAAGGTCATCCGTAAACTAGTTCCACCCATTCATCTATATTACTATCGTGCATCCAATATTGTTGTTGGAACCATTTCCATCTTCTTGAAAATCCAGACAATTCTATATGTCGTCCATAACTTTATGATCTGCGTCAGACCCAGTTTTGATCCTTTATTTAGTATTAAATAATTACGATGTAATGCATTTTTTAGTATCAAATTTGAGTCATAACCATACAGTCCTGTCATCTGATGTACTTTATCTTTAACCTTCAGGTAAAACAAACATGAGTTTTATTCACCTTTTTATTTCGGTAGGTCATCGATCGTATTTTGTATAAACTGGACGATCTTGTCCGCCCTTTTGTGCACAAAATTTTGGTTGTTATTGAACCTCTACTTATTGATGAAGATTATTACGCTCGTGTCGAGGGGCGTGAAATAATATCTAATCTCGCAAAAGTAAGTGAAAAAAGTATGCTTGTAGATTGATTTCCCACATTAAGTGATAGTATGTTCAATTAATACAAAGGCAACTAAAAGTAATGAAACCTCAAAAAACGGCTGCAGAAGAAACAAAACTAACTTCACTTGTGTATGTACTGAGGTCCAATCTACGTCAATTAACCTGTATGGCGATAATCGTGCACTACGGATGAAAATGGCGATCATTTACTTAAGCTTTCATCTCAACTATGTATGTCTTGCAGATGCACCCGTTAACATATCTCCAAGGATTTTAATATCAAATGCTCGTTCCTTTTTAAAATTTCCCTCTTATAGTATGCATCATCAACCAAAATTCAAGTAACTTTTATTGGTGATAACAATATTCGAGATGGGCCTAAGAAAAGCATAAAGTTCAAGAAGTGTAAAACTTGGCGTGGGTTTGTTGCAGCCGAAATTTCTCGTCACAGCCAAATCAAGACATAACCAGATGGAATTAAATCACAATGCTAATTGTAATTAAGTAGGACAAAACAAATCACAATAGAGACACTGATTATTCCCGTATTAATACGATAATATAAATACACATAATTCAGCATTGGTGTGGTCGTGCTCCTTTTAAATACCACAACTGTAGTGAAATTTATACACCAATCTATTTCATAAAAATTTAACGGGGATTGGATGTAAAGTTAATCTAATAAAAGCTATGTAACTGGTTTCCCGCTGTCAGCTGTAGGAAGTCCTTTCTAGTTTTGCTTTGTATTGTTTCGAAATTAAACTTTTGTTTAAATTAAATAAATCACCAAATTTGAATCAAAGTTTGCTATCTGAAAGGACATCTTCGTAAAACCGACAGATTATTTCGTTTTAATGTAATCCAACTCAATACCCAAGTACTCATTCATGGGACCGATTCTTAGACTTTCATTTCGTTACTAGTAACAATAACACGTTGCTTGATGAAATTCATGTTGCACATGCTTTTAAACCTAATATAAGGCGAGCACTAACTAACCTCTACTTGGTTAGTGCTGATAGTACGATAAGGGTGACAGTCATTTGTAAACTCGTTCCAAATTATATGTTCGTGACTTTCATGTATAATTATGAGTAACATTTTTTTAGTGAATAACCTGACATTTTAATATTTATATCAAATAGGCTGCTGGACTCGCTACTATGATTTCTACTATGCGTCCCGATATTGATAATATGGACGAATATGTGCGTAATACAACTGCAAGAGCGTTTGCTGTCGTTGCATCAGCTCTAGGAATCCCTAGTTTGTTGCCATTTTTAAAAGCCGTTTGCAAATCTAAAAAATCTTGGCAAGCTAGACATACTGGCATCAAGATTGTTCAACAAATATCCATCCTTATGGGTTGTGCAATTCTACCGCATTTACGGTCTTTAGTGGAAATTATTGAACACGGGTTAGTTGATGAACAACAAAAAGTTCGCACTATTACAGCATTAGCTTTGGCCGCTCTTGCTGAAGCAGCTACTCCTTATGGCATAGAATCATTTGACTCAGTTTTGGAACCTTTGTGGCGTGGTATAAGAACTCATCGAGGCAAAGGTTTAGCCGCTTTCCTAAAAGCTATTGGCTACCTCATCCCCCTAATGGATGCAGAGTATGCCAATTATTATACCCGTGAAGTTATGTTAATTTTAATCCGTGAGTTTCAGTCTCCTGATGAAGAAATGAAAAAAATTGTTCTTAAAGTAGTCAAGCAGTGCTGTGCAACAGACGGTGTCGAACCTGATTATATTAAGTCGGAAATTCTACCACCGTTTTTCCGTAGCTTTTGGACACAACGTATGGCTCTAGATCGGCGCAATTACAGACAGGTATTCTTTTTTACGTTTTTTGTTGTATTGTAATTTGATCTTGATGAATGCTAATTTTTTGACCTCATATCCACAAAAGAAAAGAACTTTTAACCTTCCTAGTGCTTAACTCTATGTTCCCGATTCGCATTAATATTTGCTCGTACCAAGTTCCCTAATCAGTCACAAACATTAAACTTGGCAAAAGTTCGCGTATACCCACATTCTCACTTTTCATACCAGTATAGAGAGAAGTTAACAATATAAAGATTTTAAAAGTGAGATGATAATAGTATCAGTGAACGTGAAAGAAATCTAAGCTTGATGAATATAGACCATAAGAACAAATAAAAGTCGAGTTAAAAATGTATGGAATAATGTTGAAACCCAGGATATGGAAGTCGATAAAAGATTAATGCAACTGCACCAGTTTGACCGGTTTTCTGAAATGTCACTTAAAATTTCCAGTCATAGGTTATGATTATCACGTTGATCCTAACCAACTAGTCTATATCTCTTGACAAGGCTCAGGACACCAGATAATGATATGAACTAATCCCATATCTTAGTACTAGGTGTACGTCTTTTTTTAATATAATATATTAGGAAATTTATGCCTTATATATGCAAAATATCCAAATAAAATAGCATGACTATAAGCTGTTTGTCGGCTAGCAAATGGGTAGTCAATAATAGAAAATAAAAGTCTCTAAACAACCAAAGATTATTCATTTGTGGCTCTCGATGCTGTATTATTTCTAACTTCAACAGAATAAAACTTGACACAATTATTTTAGACAAAATTAACTATATATAGAGGTTGTGTAGCTTATAAACTGGTCAAATCAAAATTATATTTGGTGGTTTTCCAGCACTTGTTGAACTTGTCAATCACAGGTTTCGCTTAAGACACCAGCTTTCAAATTGCTAATAAGAAAAATTGTCACAATTAACAGTTTAGATAACGGATTAAAATTGCTGAAAAAAGAAAGGTGATTTGTCATATTAAAGTCTAAGTATCATTGATCTTCATTCAGAAATTTTGCATAAGGTATTTACACTTAACAAATCTCATCGTAAGAACGCACGGAAACAGTTTATTTTTCCCATACAAGTAAATTTCACTTAATTATACAGCGAATTGTGATTTCATAACCTGTCTGATAATTTTGGGGGGTTCTGCAATTTTACTACTGTTGTCATTATATTGTGTCATAAATTTTCTGAAAAACAACTTGGATCAGTAACCGTAGTCAAGTGACTTTAAACTGTTTATCATCTTCAAAGCCCTTTACACTTCAATTTATCTTAGATTTCGTAAATAAGGATATTTTTTATTTCCAGATCACTACTGAACTTATTTTTGAAGTCAATTAAATGTGTTATGCAATTGCTGATAGTAAAATCTTTTATGTGGAGTACGACGAAGAAAATCCCCAGACATGTGATATACTAGTCGTATTGCCTCATCATAATTGAGTATAATATTTCTTTTTCTCACCGTTTTATTAAGAAGTAATTGTCACTCAGCTCATTATCAATTTTCGGTCACGAATTAAAATAGTTAGTTTGGTCTTATTACCTTGTACATAAGAAGATGCTTTATTTTCTCTCTTATTATTGTTAGCTGGTTGATACAACTGTGGAAATAGCAAATAAAGTCGGTGCAGCTGATATCATCTCTAGAATTGTAGATGACCTCAAAGATGAGTCCGAACCCTATCGTAAAATGGTGATGGAGACTATCGAAAAAGTTATGTCTGCACTAGGAAGCACAGAAGTTGATGCTCGACTTGAAGAGCAATTAATCGATGGTATATTATATGCTTTCCAGGAACAAAGTACCGAAGTGAGCTACTTGTAAATATTTCATATTTCCAATAAGTAAATTGTTCGTCACTCTTTTGGATTACTATTCATATGCTTTCCTTTTATAAATTCACTAACTTGAATTTAAAGTTTCTGAAGTATCCAGGTTCAATGGAACTTCTGCTTGCTTTTATGCGTATAGTTTTAAATGAGTAGTATCTTAGTAGTCGTTATCTCCAAATTTTTAAATAGGCGGTTTACAAATCGAATTAAACAGTATAAGGTCCTGCTGAGTTTACTAATTATGAACAATAGCCCAATTATCTAAACATTCGGTTTCCATCTAATGGGTTGCCGGTCAGTATGAATCTTGTTTTATTGCCTGCTAGTTCAAATGCAAGTGCTAATGATGCTCCTCGTTCGTTGATTGACTTCTCTGTACTATTCATAGGGTGGTAGGCTTAGTCCTAAAATAGGTTCTTTAATCTCTGAAACGTTTTTAAAATGAAGGATATATGTTTGTTCAAGTTCCCTCAACTATACCAGCTTAGTAAAACACCAAGCTGAATTATTGTCGTTTGCTTGTTTTTAAGTGCATTAAGCCACATTTTCACACTATAGACTTATATGCATTCTTTTGATATCTTTTAATACTCAGGACGCTGTCATGTTGATTGGTTTTGGAACTATTGTACAATCACTTGGTAAACGTGTTAAGCCGTACTTGCCCCAAATATGTGGTACAATCTTATGGCGTCTTAATAACAAATCGGCTAAAGTTCGTCAGCAGGCAGCCGACCTTATTAGTCGTATCGCTGGTGTAATGAAAGTGTGTCAAGAAGAAAAACTAATGGGTCATTTGGGTGTAGTTTTATATGAATACCTTGGTGAAGAATATCCAGAAGTACTTGGAAGTATTTTGGGTGCCCTTAAGGCTATTGTAAATGTAATTGGTATGACCAAAATGACTCCTCCAATTAAAGAACTTCTGCCAAGATTGACACCAATATTGAAAAACAGGTTAGTTCTAAATGTTATTGTTCATTATCGCTAAATGGTATACAACATGGTCGTTTTCAGTCAGCTTACCACCGACTTATATTTTGATCATCGGTTTTACTGATGTTTTGTCGATATCTGAGGATTGCGACTTTAAACCTCTTTTCCATACATGCAATTAAAATAATGAATGGTACTATTTAAACTTGTACCAATCTAACTCGCTTTTTTATTCTCTGAAGAAGCGACTTACACTATGTCACGAAACATCAGAAATTCAGTTGTCTAGTTACTGGGGTATTACAAGTATATAATCAATTTTCTTATAAACAGTCATTCCACCCTACATTCAATAAGTTTGATATTATCTAGTTAAACCTTGGTAATGATACTCTTTTTGTTTTCTAGGCATGAAAAAGTAGAAGAAAACTGTATCGATCTTGTTGGACGAATAGCAGACCGTGGGTCGGAGTATGTCTCTTCTAGAGAATGGATGCGTATCTGCTTTGAACTCTTGGAATTATTAAAAGCACATAAAAAATCAATTCGACGAGCAACTGTCAACACTTTTGGTTATATTGCCAAAGCAATCGGTCCACATGATGTTTTAGCGACTCTGTTAAATAATTTAAAGGTGAGTTGTTTAGAGCTTATTTGTCAAAGCCAGTTACAGTCTATTTGTTGTTATCTTCTTCACTTTCATTTGTGTTTTCCATTTTAATATTCTTAATTTTTCTCTTCAGGTTCAAGAGCGTCAAAATCGTGTTTGCACAACTGTTGCCATTGCTATTGTTGCAGAGACATGTAGTCCATTTACTGTTTTACCTGGTCTTATGAATGAATATAGGGTCCCTGAACTAAATGTTCAAAATGGTGTTTTAAAATCACTGGCTTTCATGTTCGAGTATATTGGTGAAATGAGCAAAGACTACATATATGCCGTAACTCCTCTGTTAGAAGATGCACTAATGGACCGGTAACTAAAAATTCCTTAATATACTCTTTTTCTATGTGGTTTGCTAACCTAATGTATTTTTCCTTTTAGTGATCTTGTGCACAGACAAACTGCGATGACTGCAGTAGCTCATATGGCTCTTGGTGTATATGGGTTTGGGTGTGAAGATGCTCTTCTGCATCTCCTGAACGTCGTTTGGCCTAATGTCTTGGAAACTTCACCACATGTCATTCAGGCTTTCATGTTTTGCATTGAAGGTCTCCGTGTTGCACTTGGTCCTAACAAAGTACTTCAGTATTGTCTTCAAGTAAGTTCTGCCTAAATATGAGATATTTAAATCTGTTGGAAAAAGTTTTTATTAGAGAATCTTCATTGAGTTTTCCTATTTCTAGCTAAGGTATTGGAAACAATTAGTCTTTAATTATTATTTTGCACTTACACTTACCAAGAAAGAGATAAACATTTGCATAAGTGTTTTGAATATCTTTGTCCTATCGCTTCTGAATGAGGCTATATTCTCCTTCAAACAAAAACTACATGGTGTGCAGAAAATCACCCTTTTGAATTAAAAAAAGATCTTTCACAACTGTTAAAAAACAATCATACATAAGTCGAAACAAATGTGATATTTTTACCATGATTACGAAAACGATAAACGGTCCCTAGAATCAATTTCCTCCAACTTTTAAGCTTTTCTTATCAGCTTGGTTGAATAAATAGTGAAAACTTTCGATCCACACATATCATACGCTATTCTTCTTTTTGGAAAATATATTGTTTATTTTTAACAGGATATTTTACATATTTTTGTGTTTTTCGTTCCTCTCAGGGCTTATTCCATCCTGCTAGGAAAGTGAGAGATATGATGTGGAAAGTGTACAATACTATTTACATTGGTAATCAAGATGGCTTAGTTTATGGTTTCCCACGTATTCCTGACGAACAAGATCACACTTATATCCGACATGAATTGTCTTATATTTTGTGAAAATGTATTTGTCAGTATGATCACAATCCTATTTACTTCTTATTTTCACTCCCAGACTTTTATGTTTTGTTACTATTGCATTCTTGTCCTTCAAATAAGTTCCTGATATCAGGATCTATTAACTCCTACGGTTTTACACATCGTCGTGGTCTTGTATTTAAACCAATTTTTTTCGGATTAATAAATCAGTTAAATTGACTCATGTGCTTTCTAATATTCTGTTCAGATGGGTGATGTGAGTGAATTTCTAACTTCATAATTTAGAAATTAATACCACAAAGGTTCCCTATGCTATTAAATCGCTATCGTTAATCTTTCAAAAGTAGGGATAGGAGCGATCCGAAAACTAATCGATCTCATGTTAAATTTGGCGAAGCCACCGTTTTATCTACTAAATTATTAATAAAAAACGCCAATTTTCGGCGTCACCAATTTCGAGACTTACTATCCAGAGTCTAGTTATCATATACGCTTTTCGCGTGAGCCCTACTCAGAAAGTTTGAACCTCCTATGACAATTAAGTTTTAAATCCACAAACTTACCTCTGATATTTGCTTGCAACAGTATTTGTAGTTAATCTCTGTTATTTGAAAATGAGTTTGTTGATCGTCGAAACAATAGGCTTACCAATAAGTCACGCACTTCTACTTCATAGCTAGTTAGTTCAAATGTGATGTATTTGAATTCAAGTTGTAAGAAGAGGTAGGTAGGTAGCTTGCTGTCAATAAATTTGGTACAGAGAATTGTAGTCGGTAGGTCCTGGGTTCGAGCCCCGCGTGGTGCGGGATCGTGGATGCGCACTGCTGAGGAGTCCCATACCAGGACGAAACGGCCGTCCAGTGCTTCCAGGTTTTCAATGGTGGTCTAGCTTCAACTGACTCATGATTTCAACCTGTGAACTTTCTAAAACTCCACAAAACCCACTCTGAGAATTGTAGTCATTTAGTCGGTGGTAAAGCTCACTGTAGATTGTATTTTCTTGGGATGTAAATGAAGGTATACTCTCTAAGTGCGATTGAATCTTATAGTTCATTGACAAGAATTGTTGTACTTTTACACCTAAAGGATTATTGTTGTCTGGGTCCTAGGGTTTAGTACAAAATCAGTTAATCCTTCAGGATGTTCGGACTAAGGCATATGAAACATGTTTTCTAGATTGATAAATGAATCCTGTATTCTTGAATATTGGTCATCGAGTCATCTTTAACTGAAACTCGAACTAACAGTCTTATTTTACCTTTGCTTCATACAGGTTTGTACTTTTCTGTTGATTATAAAATCATACTCGTAAAAGCATTTTAAAAAACGGAGTGGTTACTCATCTTAAGTCTTATAGTATTTAAGTGTGGCAGTCATGTTGGTTAGTTGTATAGGTGGTGAAGTTGGCTGACCTGACAGAAAGGTAACTAACATAATCACAATCCTTTTTGAATGAGATCAGTTCCTGTGGTCAATCTAGGAAATATATATTCTGCTACCCAATATTCTTTGGAAACAATGCTTCACTTGACTGGTCCTTTATCAGGACAAAAATCGTAAGTGGACAAAAAAGATATTCCAAAAATCTGAACGGCAAAAAACTGCATACACAGGAGTGTCTTATTAATCTATCCGCTAGCACTGGATCAATGAGCTATCACCAACAGTCTGAAAAAAACTTGCACATAACTCTAAAACTAATTTATCAGTTAGTAAATACTCTAAATTAACTTGTCCATTTTAGATTTTCTCAAGGCTAAGTAAGTTTATATCTCATCATTCTTTCGAAACTCAGTGGCAAATAAATATTATGTGCTATTTACCAAATTTCAAAATGATTACTTACGCCTGTTACTCCTCGTGGAGAAGCATAGGCCGCTCACCAGCATTCTCCATCCAACCCTGTCCTGGGCAATCCTTTCCAGCTCCTTCCGGTCATTATTCATCCTTTTCATATCTGTTTCTATTTCCCGACATAATGTGTTCTTTGGCCTTCCTCTTTTCCACTTCCCTTCAGGATTCCAAGTTAGGGCTTGCCTCGTGATGCAGTTTGATGATTTGCGTAATGTGTGTCCTATCCATTTCCATCGTCTTTTCCTGACTTCTTCAGCTGGAAGCTGGTTTGTTCTCTCCCAGAGAAGGCTGTTGTTGATGGTATCCGGCCAATGAATGTTGAGTATCTTGCATAGACAGCTATTTATAAATACTTGTACCTTCTTGATGGTGGTTGTTGTAGTTCTCCAAGTTTCAGCTCCGTACAGTAGAACTAACTGTCTTGACGTTCGCATTGAAGATTCTCACTTTGATATTGGTTGAAAGTTATTTTGAGTTCCATATGTTCTTCAATTGTAGGAATGCGACCCTTGCTTTGTCAATCCTTGAATTTACGTCTGCATCTGAGCCTCCTTGTTCATCGATGGTGCTTCCCATGTATGTGAAGGATTCTACATCTTCCAGAGTTTTGCCATCAAGAGTGATTGGATTGCTGTTTTCCGCTTTGAATTTGAGGACCTTGGTTTTCCCTTTGTGTATGCTGAGGCCTACTGATGCAGAGACTGTTGCTACACTGGCTGTATTTATCTGCATCTGTTCGTGTGTATGTGATAGGAGGGCCAGGTCATCTGCGAAGTCTGAGTCGTCTAATTGGTTCTGAGCTGTGCATTGTATTCCTTGTTTTCCTTCAGATGTCGAGGTCTTCATAATCCAGTCGACCGCCAGAATAAAGAGGAAGGGAGAGAGTAAATAGCCTTGTCTGACTCCGGTCTTTACTTGGAATGCATCTGTCAGCTGTCCTCCATGCACGACTTTGCATTGTAGTCCGTCGTATGAGTTCCGGATAATATTGACAATCTTCTCAGGAACTCCGTAGTGTCGAAGGAGTTTCCATAACGTCCTCCTATCTACACTGTCAAATGCCTTTCTATAATCAATAAAGTTGATGTACAGTGACGAGTTCCACTCAACTGATTGTTCAACGATGATCCGTAGTGTTGTAATCTGGTCTGTGCACGACCGATCCTTACGGAATCCAGCCTGATGATCTTGAAGTTGGGCGACTACTGAATCTTTCATTTGTTTCAGCAACACTCTGTTAAAGACTCCCTGGTATTGACAGTAGTGTGATGCCTCTGTAGTTTTCACATTTGCTCAGATCTCCTTTTTTTGGAATTTTGATCAGGTGTCCTTTCCAGTCCATCGGCATTTGTTCCTCCTCCCAAATCTTTTTGAATAGAAGGTGAAACATGTTTGTAGTTACTTCGATATCTTCATATCCGCTGTTATCTATTCCAACTTTGGCGTTTAGATCTCCCATCAGGATGGTGAGGTCGTTTCTTGGGCACTTCGCTATGATTGATTGCAGCCTCTCATAGAATTGATCTTTAATGTCGTCGTTGCTATCATTGGTGTATGCTTAACATTAGATAATATTCATTAAGATCCCCTCCTTCTTTGTTTTGAATGATGCTTTGATGATTCTAGATCCGTGAGATTCCCATCCTACAAGTGCATTTCGTGCTACCTTGGACAGCATTAGAGCAACTCCCTGAGTGTGTGGAGCATTTTCCTCTTCGCGACCGAGGTATAGCAGCATCTCTCCCGTATTTAGCCTTTGTTGTCCAGTGGGTTTCGCTGATTCCCAGTACTGCCAATTTGTATCTCCTCATTTCCGTTGCCATTTGACTGTTCTTCCCGGTCTCCCACATTGTTCGGACGTTCCATGTACCTACAAAAATTTTTGCTCTGGTTGTTAGAATGGGCATCGGCCTCGTGAATTCCGAAGGAACTCGACTTTCACCATGAGGCGTCATAATTCTTCTAAATGAAGACCTTCAAACTCCCAGGACAGAGTTAAAATGGTTTGAATTATTTTTTTCTGGTTAGCGTATTTTTAGCGAGTTAGTTTCCCACGGGATGGGGTCGCTAACCCCATGCCCAAGCCTCCTACTTCATCCGGGCTTGGGACCGGTAGTAACTCTAGAAGAGCTACAGGCGGAGTTTTCCAAGTGGTGTTATAAGTTAATTTATGTATTCCACAGTCATGCAGGGAGTTAGTTGTTGTTTACATAGGTCAGTCATAGCTCCTTCAAAAAGAATCCGTCTGGTCACTTGGAGTTGGATTAGTTTCCACTACAATCTGGACACACATCCATGACGAACCTGAGCAAACACTAAGGAAAGATCAATGGCTTCCTTATGGTTAAAATGAAATACACAACATTGATTGGTTATTGTGTGGACAAAAAATTTAAAAGTAGGATTCTTAATGTTTAAGAATCACATTTTTAAGAGTAATACAACCTGAGTAAAGATATTAGAAAAAAAATCATTAGATGAATATGGTTATTCTATTTACTGCTTTGTACAGTCACAACATCTTGTATGGACTAATGCTTGTCAAAATTCGGGACAGAAAGTCTTTCTGAATACACGTACATTTGTATCTAATTCTTAAAACACGGACTACTTTTTATTTCGATTTCTATCAGCTTTCTTCGAGTTAAATGACTGGAGCTTAGTTCCTGTTAGTATTTGTAAGTAAGAATACATTACCTGGAAATTGTTACCAAATTTTCTCACGATATCTTGGAATAACCGTTATCTCAATGAATGACAATTTTGATTCAAATGTGCATAACTCAAAACCGCACAATATTAAGTCATCTTTCACTGAGACTGCACAAGTGAAGTGTGTATTCATAAGTGGAACGATAAATCATAAAATTACATTCTTTTTCTTATCAAAATATTTTTCTAAATGAGAAGTTTGAGTGACTGACATTAGTTCGAATAATCCAAATAATTACTCTTTCATCTACAGTTCAGCTTAGGTTCCAGACCTTAGCTGCTACCTTGACGCGGTGGTCGGGCTTGCCTATCGTCATGATCCAACCGAGCTATATTGGCTGGAACATGTGTTCCTGTAAGTTTTACCATGCCAGGATGGTTGATTGGAGAACAGTAAGACTAAAAGCAGCAACTCAAGGTCTGAGGGCGAAGTCGTACTGCTGACTGTAGAGGGGTGTGACAGCAGTAAGGTGTTTCCCTCGGACAACCAGCATCTGCAGCGATGCTGCCTTCCCACAAGGAAGGAAGGGGTTGGAAAAGGTTGACCCTAAAAATTTCAAACCTCGCGGATTTCCGTCTCCGGTGGTAAGGCTCTTTGAAGAACGGAGCTAACACATTAAAAACCTCTCACAAAAAGGCCGTGCGCGACCGACCT